TCATCACTCAAGCCCAGCTGGCGTAACCGGGTTCTGGGTTGTTTGTGACTCCCGAGGTTTCACAGCAAATGTATTGTTGGCAGACAAGTAGAGAGCCTTGTGTTTATTATTATTGATTTCATCCCATTTTTATCACTTAAATCTTCAAGGTCATCTGGTTCTTACATGAAATACCTTTCCTTCAGTCCTCTGCTGGCCACACAATGCCGTTTTTAATAATCTGCACTTCATCAGTACTTCACATGCTGCAGCTGTTAATGAAAGTACCGAGACAGGCAGATCCCAGGCTCCTTCTGTAAGGAACAACTCTGATAAGCTCCCTCAGATCTGACACTGCCCCTTTAGCAATGCCTCCTTCCCCCTGACTTGGCTCTGATGCTGTCCTTTAGCATCTGTTCCCAAACAGATATGACAAGTGGGTCGAGCATTACCTGGATCCCCTTCTCCTCTCACATGTTTAACCTACACCTCTTGATCCTTAAGACACTGGACTTTCATGATCAGTTCATTCTCTATTCCACTCTCTGCTTAGTTTTAATATTTTTTTTTAATATTCTTTTAATATCCTGTTACTTCTTCAGAGAAGTTAGGAGCGGGATCCCACAAGGTTTTACATTTCATGGGGGTATGAATTCTGCATAGCGTTAGTATTTTTCATGTGAAGAAGCATTGGGCTTCCTCCGTGTGCAGTGCCCTGAGGTCTTGAATCCTTAGTATTTTGTATTTTCTTATCATAGTTCTTTTTTTGCACTTTCTGTTTCTGGCAACAGGTATAATACATTTATCATGTTCACATATTTAACAATACACAAATCTCTGTGATGTTTCACGAGGGATCCTTATCTCTGCAACAGACTGAAATACCATTCAGGAACATAGGAAAACCAAAATGTTTGGGATTATCAGTTGATGGAGCAGGGGGTCTGGGTGCCCACCTCAAAATGGGACTTGCAAAGGCAGCAGACCAGCCTGTAAAACACACAGACCCTGTTGCATGCACACCGAGAGTGGACTGGGAGGATTTCCTTGTTAATGTCCTGTTTTGTTCTCCAGTTTGAATTAAACTGCCATTTCTCCCATTTTCCCCAGCTCCTGTGCCTGAATACAGCCTATTTGCAGGGAAGCTTATGCCATTAATTGTCATCGATCAATGGTGGAATTAGGGTTCGTGTTTTGCTCTCCTGGGTGTCTCACCACTTGCAATGAGCAGGGGCATCAGCCCGATCCCCTCTCGTGACACTTTGGACAGCTTCAGGTCCCGCTTTCCACTGGTATCAGTGACAGGGATTCGTTGACTTCAGCAGCTGGGGCTTAGGTTCAAAATGAAGAATAGGGCCAGGAATGATTCATACATCTCACACTGCAGGTTTTTTTTCACCAAATGAATGAACACCTATAATCCAAGGCCATGTTTTACTGACTAATGGTTGCCAAGGACTGGCCTTATTTGTAGCCTATCATAAGAATCTAAATCAAACAACAGCTCCAAACACAGTAGTAAGTTATGCACCATCTCATAATTTATTATAGTACAAACAAGTTTGTCAAACACAATATATTGTCTACTTATGAAAATATCAATATTCACAATTTAAATAGGTGATAGGTCTTGTAATTTTATATACCAGCAACTCATCTAAAAAGTATTTTGTTCCTAGCTGTGGTCTTCCAAGGACATATAGTTACAAGTAATTGTAAAACTGTCCATTCACAGCTTATTGTTTCTAATTATAGGCATTTGAAATATAAATCAGAGTACAAAAGACCATCTCCACAACAAAGATGGTTTTGTCTCCAGGATACTTTTTCCCTAAATAGTGACACTATATGTGCTTAATTAAGTTTTTACTATTGGAAAATTAAGAGGTACGAATAATACAGCAAGACATTGGCTAGTTAGCAACAGTCATTGCAAGATGCTTCACACAACCAAAAATAAGGCAAGTAGTATCAACAGCAGCTCCCATATGGCAGACTAAAAAGTCAAGGCTTTATTATCCAAACTGGACGCTAAGAAGGCTCAAATGTCTGTTAACAAGATACAGCTTGATCCAAAGCCCTCCTAAATTGATGGGACTTGAAGAGATCAACCACAAAACCCACAACCAACCTTCCCTTTCACTTCAAGCGGCTTTGGAAGTAAGGTCTTAAAGCCCTAAATTATCAGAAATGAAAGGACCTAATCGCTGTACATGAAAATTGTACCTTGTCAATTCTAAAATGATATGGAAAAGGTTGTGAGTTGTTGTTGTTGGGTTTTTTTAAATAAATGAAGTTACAACAATTCAATGGGTTATTTTTAGTGGGAAGTAAGATACTCATGCAGAAAGATTTTCTTTTTAAATATGGCAATTTACAAAAATACATCATCAGGACAGAAAAATCAGATGACACTGCTAGTTTGCAGGATAAACATTGTTACAAAAACTAATAAATCACACCATGTGAATGGCAGCATATGCCATGCACTTAATTGAAATTTTTTAATAAATAAGAGCCCTAAACATTCATTATTTTCTGTAAGGTTGCTATTATATTAAGTTGAATAGTGAATTTCTTGTATAAATAATTTTTCAATAAATACATTCTCAAAAATGAACCACTTATCTATACAGATATTGCACTTCAGACTCATTCACGTATTACTCAGACAAGCATTCCTCATAACAAATTTAGAATAAAAATAAGTTATAAATACAGTGTTTTCCCAAAATGAAACATACAATACCTTTTTCACAAGGTAACTTTGGTTACTATCAACTGACAAAGACCAGAGAGAGGTTTCTGAGAGGAGGTTAAAAGGCATAGCCACAAAACTGTATTTCTGTAAAACACTGGTAAAGGGAGTGATGATTTTAACCTTGCTGTGACAAATACAGTGAGGCCGAGCATCCCTTCTGAGCTTTATTATTGCGAGGAAGTGTGAAGTTTGAGATCACAGGGACAAAGAGCGTACAGGATGAGTGGGCTCCTTCTTTCCCTTTGCGTCTGGGGAGATAGAGGTGGGTGGCATCCTCGGTGGGTGAGGGTGGGAAGGGTCAGCTTTCGCTCTCAGCTTCCCCTTTCCCTAGACATCCCCTTCTCCTTGCTCTAAGCAGCATGGTCCATGGGGTGCTCCCGCAGCTCGGCAGCTCTTGCTGCCCGACGGCTCTGCCGGGGGGAGAGGACCAGGCGGTGCGTGCTCACCGGACATCCCACCTCTGCCGCTCCTGACCAACCTCAATCTCTCCTGAGAAATCCCCTCCAAGCACAAGCCAGCCTTGGCCTGGGGTCCCAGTCTTCATGGCCTGTGCCTTCTGCTGCCGTCCCCTCCGGGGAAAGGTGTGCTCAGGTCTGGTGTGGCTTTCGCTCTGCTTGCACAACACCAGGACGAGTGGGTGTGCAAACGTGGCCTCTGTGGCAGAAGGGAACTAGGTGCTTGTCCTTATCAGGACTTGTGCAGACGTGGCGTTTCTTGGGGAAATGCACCAAAGCTGAGCCATCCGTGGGTTTGAGAGATGCTTTCAGCCCTGAGATCCCACCAGTGCGGGACTGACTGTATCCCTCCTCAGGGGACCCAGCTACGTTGGGGCCCTGGGAGCGCCGCACTGGCAAGGGAGATGGGGACAGGCACAGATGCAGTGCTAGCACCGGGCTGCTTTCTGCTGCCAGTTACTGGGAAGCTGCTGCGTCCAGTGACGACGTTGTGCTTGTGTCGGTGTTCACCGTGCGGGGAAGTCTGCCCTCACCTTCAGTACAGCTGCATTAAGTGCCTAATAGAGAAGGAAAAGGTTGTGTTATGTGGCTCAGAGACCACGTGCTAAGATCTGAAAAGGAGTGAAACGAAAAGAAATGCTTTTTCAGCCTTCCTGTAAATCTCTCTTCTCATTTTCTACACTCAGCATTGCAGGGATCCTGGTTTTTGAGTGTGAAAGAAGTTAAGCTACTTTAAGTAAGGTAGATATTTAAAAGCCTCAGTCCAAGCTGATCTATGTTTTTAGTGCTCTTGGATATTTAATGAATTTAACAGATTTCTTTTACAAATAGGGTTTTTTTTTAACAATTAAATGGCAAATCTGCAATAGGATGGCATACTCTGTCAGGAGAAAATCTTAGGTTGAGGTTTTGTATGTTAATCCCTGCAGGCCTGAACATGAGGGATAACTGAGAATCTTTGTCAATTAAGAAGGAATCTGAAGGCTGTAATCACTCCAGACCTTACAGGAGCAGCTTTGGTGGGAGCTCTGCATCAGGCAGGACGTGGCCTTGCACTTGAAAATCTTCACACGCCATAACTGAAATAGCTGGGAAACGATGCTGCTTTTGTTCCTGGCTCTAGAAACCTCCCTCCCTCCCACTCCCCTGTCTCATTCACATTCTTAAATAACAACTTAAACGATATGAATATTGGCAGCTTGCAGGATTGCTTTCCATGCCGAGGCTGCAACAGGTACTGGATCTGTCCTCAAGCCTTGCTCCAACGAGCCAAAAGGGGCTTGTCACAGTTGGTCTCACAGGCTGCCTCCTGCAACGAGGTCTTCACGGCAAGACTGTGTGGTGGTGTTTCATGTCAGAAACAACATATCATTTTTGGCAAGAGCACGCACCAGAAATGGCACCTTCCACAATACCTAAAAGCATCCGTTTGCTCTGTCGATAGCGAACTGCAGGGTCAGGTAAGGTTTCGTTGTGTTTTAGAAGGTTGCAATTAAAGACTGTTGTGGCTTCCCTCCTCCAAGACTTGGGACTGCACTGGTGCTGGGGTGTGAAACGTTGGAGTGGGACTCAACATGAAAACTTGAACTCTGAAGCTGTGTAAGAGGTGGAGGCATCTGCCCTTCTCATTTTTGCTCCTAAAATCAAAGCTCCCGTTCCCTCCTAACAGTCTGACCTGCCCTCGGTCTCCCAGGGAAATGAAATCATGTGACCACTCTTCAAAACAGCCATTTCAGCATGTTACATCCTGAAGATGTAACTACTTGAAAAGAACTTGCACCCAGAAACTCCAACAATTGCCCTTTTCATGGTGATATTTTTATAGGCTTTCCATTCTTATCATACTGGTAAACAAGCATTTTGATGCAGTGAGAGTTGGCCGGGGAAATCCAAGGGCTGCTTGTTATGGAAAAGTTATGGTTTGTATAGAATTGCACAGGTTGCTTCTGACACTTAAAGAAGGCTTTCAGCGTTGCAGCTGCCATTGTGCGGAATCTTTTGCTAATAAAACAGTAGAGGAAGAAATTAATTGCAGTGTTAAGCAGGGCTAGCATATTGGCGATGTCCGACACAATATGTACCACCCAGCTGTTGTCTATAGGCGATACGTAGAGGTGATACAGTATCATGATTATTCTTGGTGCCCAGAGTATGGCAAAAATAGAAGTTATAGTAAACAAAATGGCTGTTGTTTTCCCTGTGGAGTACCCTCGCAGTCGGAAATTGCTCTTTCGGCGCAGCTTGTACACAATGATGGAATTCAGGATGAAGAAGATGGAGCAGGGCACTAAGTAAACAGTAAAGCAGTGGATCCAGATGAGGACGTGATGCATTGATGTGCTTATGTAGTCTTCAATCCAGATGTTGGGCCACCAGTAGTAGGGGATGCTCGTCAAAAAGCAGGTGATATAGACAGTTACAATAACTTTCCGAGTACGAGCAGGGTAGGAGACTGTGTGATACTTCAGTGGATGGCACACAGCTATATACCTATCAATTGTGAGTGGAACCGTAATCCAAATGGAGGTGTGGATGGAAGAAAATTCCAAGACCTCAATTATTTTGTCCAGTACCTGAGGCATCTGTTTATTTAAGATGAAGTCTTCCATGAGGAAGTCAACAAAGACAATGAAGAAGAGAACCAGGATGTCAGCAGCAGCTAGAGCTAGAAGGTAGTTGTAGGAGGACTTCTGCCTGCGAGCCACAAGCTGGGAAAGGATGATGACTGTCAAGATGTTTGCTGTGGAGACAAAAACACAGAGTTAGGCTATTAAGACCTAACACTAGCTTTTCTGAGCACTTGCTTGGAGCAGAGCTCTGTTCAAGTACGTAGCAACATGACCACCAAAAAGAAAATGCTACAGTTGGGTCCCTCAGAGCAGCTGTTGCAGTGAGAGGAGCACGTGGCCCTCCTCACAGCCATGGGATGTGCTGTCACCCAGTGTCCAGGCAGACCAGGATGAGGGACAGAGAGCAAGTCTGGACCTTCACTCCAGAGATAGGGTTAGGTGGTGTTCAGCCCTTTGCTGTCTCCTGGAGCAACCCGTAGAGACATGCTGCACCCTGGCTCTGTCGTTGATGCTCTCTGGTCAGCCCCGCTGCCACTGTGGGTGCAGCAGGAGCACCCTGACCAGGGGGTGTTGGGACCAGCAGTAGAAAATACTAGTATCTCACCCATGCACTCGTATTTTCCCCCTTGCTTTTTTCCTATTTTTTTTACAAGTGGCAAATGAAGGGTGAGGTGGGCGCTGTTGAGAGACGTGCTGTTCCACATCCCAGCTCGCGGTGCCTGCCTTTTTTTAAACTCCAGCTAAAAAGAACTGAAATCAAAGCCCCCTGAAGTAGGTGATTTTCTCCTGCCTGCATGGGATCCCAATGGAGGGAAGGCCTTCCAGGGAAACACGTGTCCTCAGCTCTTCCTGAGATCTGCAGGTGCCTCACACCACACTTGAAGTTTTCGGTTCTGCCCAGGATGAGTCTCCTGTAAGTCAGCCCTGCCTGTCTGACCTGGTCTCCTGCAGACAGGCTCTGGGCAGGTGCCTCCCTTTCCACCAATGAAATACCTGCTCCACAGAGGCCTACTTGCTTATCCAGAGCTGCCTTTTAAAAGTCCTCCTCCAATGACACGGCGTTTTTCCTCTGGAGTGATGCAGCTGAGCCCTTAAGGAAACCCTGCTGGCCTTGTCAGAGGTGACAGATGTTCTGATTCCGCCCCAGTGTACACATCTGTGAGCTTCCTGAAAAAGCATCTGCTTGCAACTCTTTGGCCACAATACAGACCCGTCACCTAAAACACCATAGGTGTACTGCACGAAACTTAAATAATACCGGGGTGCTCAAGTGCCTTGTCTCTGCTGTTTCACGGTCCGGTTTGCTTCAGGCTGCTAAAGCTGTGATTGTACTTAATGCACAAGCGTCAGAGGCTGCGCGAAGCACTGCCGCAATGGGTGCTACAGAAGGGCTCGGTCCTACAGCCCTGGGCAGGCAGCGCTCCCTGCCACGGGTACAAACAGCCCTCCAGAGCCTTCCTGGAGCCCTGAGGTGTAGCCAAACTTTCAGTACTCGCTCGTGTTTACGAGAACTTCCTGTGTAGTCTTGAGCTGGGGGTGGAAATCCTATTATTCCTATCAGCAGTATGGCTGGAATGAGAGAGGCGAGATCGTTCCCATCAGAAGTTTGGATGACTTGGCTAGAATACCTGAAGTAGGACTTTATAAATCAGAGATCTGATTTACTGTATAAGAGACTGCCAAATGTTTGTATTTGACATTTTTGTAAGTGTTCTATAAATCACCTCTTGGGTGCGTTCAGTGCTTAAAACATTTCTGCCAGCTTTGATGGATTTCCCAAAACAATTCAACAGTAATTGTAAGGATTCCTTTAAATCAGAAAGAAAGGAAGTTGCTGATGTTAAGGTAGTGATGACCTAGGACATGTGTCCTACAACTGAAAATGCCTTTTTTTTTTTTTAACTTTTTTACTTGGCACTGGGAAAAACTTCTTCCTTCCTAAACGCCTTAAAAGCCTGCTGCCTGGGAGCAGATTTCTGCCACCAGGAAATGAACTGCAGCAAAGGGAATGATCTTGAGTAACAGCCCTCACGTCACCTATTTTTGTATTAACTTAATAAATTAATTTTATATCTTGGAACAAAACTAAACAAAGCATGAAAATCCACTGACTCCTTCCCTAATTAAAAAAAAGCATGATCTTCTCAACAATATTGTCTCAAATCACCTTCAGGGGAATTTTCCCAGTTCTAACCTCTGGTAACATGGGTGCAACTGCATTGATTTCGGCTCAGCAGATGTGGGGAAAGTTGGGTGATATAGTCAGAATTGCCGTGTCATTTTTCACTTATTTGCTTACGAAATGCCTCTGTGGTGCATGCTGATGAGCCCTAGGGGTACGGTGAGTGATGCACTGTCAAGGAAATCCTCGAGCCAGAGTGTTTATCATGACTCTGCAGCCACTCTTGCTTTTGGCCAGCCAGGCTGAGTGGCCTGGCTTTATAGATACTGGATGTGACCCATGGCGTTCATCACCTCTTTAAATCCTCTGGATTTGACTCACTCCAGCAGCAGCCACTAGAGCCGCCGTGCAGCAAGGGGGATGCCGGAAGACGCTGGACTCTGCCGGCAGCTCTGGCCTGACCGTCAGAAGGGCTCCTCCAGGGATGCTGGCCATGCCATGTCCAGGCACAGCAGCCCTGCTCCTGCCCCCTTCTGCCCACTGGGACGTTCTGCTATTTGCTTCTAACCCCACTCCCACCTTCCTGCAGGAGTAGATTTATGAGCAGGCCTTCCCGCTGTACCATCTCCTCCTGCCTTTCTCAGGGTTCCCAGCAATGGCACTAACAGGATGTACTGAAATGCAGGTTATTTGTCTAACGCCAGTGAGCTTTGCTTGGTGAGCCAGATTAGAAAATTGATCTGACAAAGTACGTGCAAGCTCTATCCAATTTTTCTGCAAGGGTTACAGTATCTTGTATTGGAAATGCTTTTGCTGGGATCACATTAAAGCTTTTTCTGGTTGCATGATATGAAATAGAGTAATATCATTTACTTTGTGAAAACAGATATATACTGGGGTGCAGCAGAAGTTTGCCAGTATGACAGCGTCTTAGCACAGGGTTCAGGACTATTTTTCTGCTGCATGCTGTACAGAGAAAGCAAAGATGAGTTATGGATAAGTCCTTCACCATTTCATAGCCAGTGTTAAGTCGGTCCTTGATGTGTCCTCAAACACTATCTAAAGCTCAGTAAAATGGGAAATGCGTAGGAACACTGCTCTGTGTGAACAACTGCGTCCTTGTGCCAGCATCTCAGTGACTCCTGGGTGCGATTCAGTGTCCTGCAAGTTCTCCTGTGGGCACAAATTACCTACTGCATGTGAAAGGTGATGGAAGAGCATTAGCAACTACATTTTAACCTTGTTTACCATAATTCTTGCACTAACACTGTAGTCAATGATAAGGACTAAGGCGGAGATGATGATGGAGATATAAAAATATCTGTCCCTACTGTAACATACATGGAGCTACAGCTACTGGATAGACCAATGCCCCTAAATTGTCATAGATGGTATACTGTCTATTCCTTGCAGTATTTTTGCTAGGTACTAAGTAGTTAAGATCAACTGATTCTGAAAGAGATTGATCACTGTTCTGGGAGTTGATTAGGGGATGACAGGTGGGAATTTATGCCAGCATCACTTGCTGAAGTGCAGTATTCTGAATTCATAAATACCTGGTTGAGAACCAGGGCTTGATGAGGGACTAGCTGGCTGAAGCCTTGAGATGCCACTAGCAGATGATGAGAAGCAACTGTAAGAAATGGCAGGCTCAATTCTTCCCCTTCAGTCATGAGGATGCCTTTAAGACACAGCATCTGAAGGTCTCTGAAACCCAAACACCATTAGTCCATGCTGCTCAAAATATGGAAACCATCAAACTCAGCCAGGCTTCATCATGGGACACCTACATCTTTCCTTTGGCATCTCCTCTGACTTTACGAGCTTCTGAGTACAAATTGTAGCCCTGAAATTTATGCATTTGGAGGTCCTATATATCTGAGAGGGATCATCCTTTAGGAGTAACCTTGGTTCTCATGTGGATTTGGGTTTGCTTCCCGTACCAAAGCCATGCTGCCTTGCCTGCAGAGCCCAGGCAGTCTTCTGTGACTCCTCAAAGCGGTGCCTGTGACCTAAAGGCACAGTTTTTTCCTCAGATCCATGTTTCATGGATTAGTTGTAGCTCAAGTAGTGTCTAACCATGGTCCTTACAGGGGATTCACAGAGCTCCTTCCACTGACTGTTACCATCGTGTCTGAGGTTAAGAAGAAGCCATTGTATCTGTCTAAAGAAGAAATAGGTATGTTTCTGGGCTTTGGTTTTGTTGAGGTTTGGGTTTTTTGGAGCATTTTGCATGTGCCCAGTAGCCTATACAGTGAAATGGCCTTTACAACACAAGTGGTAGCACTGCTGCGTTGGGAATAAGGCCCGCTGTGTGGTTCAGTAGTTCAGCATCATAAACTACATAAATGAAGTAGCCGTGAGTGTCGCTCACTGAGCGTGACAAACATTAGGTCACTGAATATAATGGACACCTTTTACCGAATACAGTTGTTGCTAGGATCCCTACAAATTATTGTGCAGTCTATGAAACTACTCTGCAGGCCTTGCATTAGTCACCTGACTGGCACAGAGACGGTTTGCGAACAGTACATTTTAAACTGCTTTAAAACATGTTAGTAACACCTCCTTCTTAGATTCAGGAACTCTGAGACTGTAAGTACAATATGCTAAAAGTGTATGGTGAAAGAAAGTGGTGTTTCGACTTCAAGGGAACAGATCATTTTCTCTAAGCTAGGAGGCAATATTAAAATGTACACGGGTGCCATGTCCAGCAGCCAGATCTGACTCCCAACAGTCGTTTGCCAATAGTTACCAGATTAGAGGTGAGGATGGCGTTCAGCCCCCACTTCTTGTGAGAGAGCTCTGGAGAAGACGATGACAATGAGTGAATTCTGATGGAGGCTACATAACAGGAATTAGGAAGAAAAGAAAATGCTGTGGCAAAGTAAACATGTTTATTACCGATGTTGGCTATAGCTGGTTATGCGGTATTTTAAAATGACCCCTGGATGCTGTTTGCCCTTAAAAAAGACAGGGAAGTTCCCTGTTTTCCTCTTACAGCTGGTGTGGGTTGAACTCAGCACTACAGCAGATGGGGACGACCTCGCTGAACGGTGCC